GCAACATGGAAACTAGTTAACCCAACCCTGCTAGAAGATGTCATAGAGACAACACTCACAGAACATAGCCATACTCTTTGGGGAACAAAGGAGAGAAGTTTCAAACTCAGAAAACTACAAGAAATGCCCCATGTATCTGAACTCCATTTTTGAGAAACTGGCTAGTGTTGATGCCTCTGCCTAAGAGAGTATGAGCCAGTTATTTAAGAGTGAGCAAAACAGTAAAATGGTTGCAAATGCGTAAGATGCTGTTGCTGTTATGCGGAAGTACTGCCCAAGCAGGAAGTTAACAGGAAGGAGAAAAATGACTTCTCTGTGCAATCTTGCCATGCCTTCCTCTACTGCCCCCTGTTGGCATAGCCTCCCTTGGAGGTACTTGGCCAGGAGAAAATAGAGCCTAAAGCCCTAGCCTCATCCTCACAATGAAGACAGGGCGTCTAGAACTGAAAACAGAAGCTTATTAATTAGTATACAAGTGGTTCATAAACTTTACCAAGCTCCCAAAGGATATCTAGTTCATATAAACAAGATAAGCCAGTTCATCTTTCCTATGAGCTCTGCTGACTATATAACTCTTACGTAGTCTATGTGAACTTCAGGGGAGTTCACTGTTTACATGTCTAAGCCCTAAAACAGTAACAGAATTATAGTAACACCTTCTTGTCTGAAATTTTAGTTCCTGTGGTTGCAGTTACTTAGTCAACCCTGGTGTGAAAATATTAGTGGAAATTCCAGAAATAAACAGTTCTTAAGTTTCAAGTTGCCATTCTGAGTAGAAAGACGAAATCTCACAAGTTTCCTCGCTGGCCAGCCTGAGCGTAAATCATCTCTTTGTCTTCATATTCACACTGCTTACACCACCTGTACTGTGGTGTTTATGGGAGAGACCACAGTCACATGACTTTCATTATAACAAAATTATTCCATTTTATTATTAGTTACTGTCAATCTCTTATGGTACCTAATTTAGGAATTAAACCTTAATATAGATGTGAATATCTTTTAAAGGAGCTATAGAGTTCAGTGTATTGTAGAGTTGAGGCTTGTATTGGGATGTTTCAATGCACCCCCTTCATTGTCAATTCTCTCCCTGAAAATAAAGACGGTAATATAATCACGTGAGATAGTCCAGTGGGCAATGATGATTTCTGTAAGACTGGTGACCTGAATTTGATCCCAGAAACTCACATTGGAAAGGAGAACGAAGTCCCTAAAGTCCTCTTTCCTCCTGTACTCACACACTGCAGCATGTATGCTCATATACAAAGGAAGTAAATAAAAGTTTGAAACAAGATAAAAAGAAAGACTACAATCAATAAAGAAAACAACCACTATTCAGGTCACCTTTGAAAGAGAAACAGCCATGAAGGCTGAAGCAGTTTCTCCTGAGATTATTGTTACCACTTCTGGGCAGACAATGGTGGCTCCATAATCTCTTCAAAGTCTCCTGGGGAATTTAAATTAATACTAAATTCAGCCCAGAATTTCAGTAAAACAGTAATATTCTTAATGTGGGTACCTCACTGGGGTAGCCAACGTGGATTGAAGATGGAAGAAAGCGTAATTAGGAAGATATTTTATTTATGGAACCTAGGCCCTCCAGAAGGACCACACATTCTTTGCCCTTGGATGATCTCCACTATTAATAATTACAGGAATTCTGAGAAATAAAAGAAAATATGACATGCTCCAGATTAGCACAATATAATTGGAAGGCTCATGGAAGATTCCTGGTTTCAGTTTCCCTGGGGTGTTTTCACCAAATGACACAGAGGACCATATAATACTTGAATTTTCCCTTCCCATCCCTACCTTTTTAAGACTTTGGAAAAAGAAGGAAAAAAGCCCTTACGAAATGACTGTCTTTGGAAACCATCTCTGATGAGCCTCATCAGCTCTGCTCATTCCCCTATACTCTGCATCCTGACGACATTTTTTTATTTAATGCAGCTCCCTTTATTAACCAACTTGTCCTACATAGAACTCTCAAAGCAGTCCCATCGTCAAGCTGTTGTCTATATGGTCAGAACAACTAAATGAAAATATATGAAACTAGTGAAGCCAACAGAACATAAAAGGAGCTGACGTATTTCTCAGTAACCTAGCAATGGATCTTCCCTGGTATTAGAGACTAGACTATGATATTCTAAAATACAACTGTAAGAGACCAGACAATGCCACCCCAAAATATACCTTGTTGGCATGAGGATTATTTTAAGATGATTATCTAAAGGAAATACAGACAGAGTAGACGATCTGAATCAGAATAGAGGAAGCGTCCATAAAAGAAACATACCCATCCACAAAGGAAATATCGATTGTAAAGCTGTCTTCCTCTCCATACCAGTATAAGGATGTGCAAGGCCAATATTAGAGTAGTAGAAAGTTCACATCATAGATAAGATACCAACTAAAATCAGCAGAACAAACTCTCCCCTGACTACCACACTTTCCAGGTTAGCCCCCTATGTTGGTTTGAATGAGAACAGCTCCCATAGGCTCATATGCTTAGATGCTTGGTCCCCGGTTGGTAAAACTGCCAGGAATGATTGTGAAGCATGGCCCTGTTGGTAGAGGTGTGCCACTGGAAGAGGGGTGAACTTTAAGGTTGCAAAACCCCATGCTAGGAACAGTCTCTCTCTTTGCTTGTTGCTCTCAGCATACAAGCTCTCAGCTACTGCTCCAGCACCATGCCTGCCTGCCTGTTGTCCTGTTTCCTGCCGTGGAAGGAAGCATGACATGGACTTACCCTCTGGAACTCTAAGAAAGTCCCCAATTAAATGCTTCATTTTATGAGTTGCCTTGATCATGGTATTTCATCACAGCAACAGAACAATAACTAAGACACTCCCCATCTTCGCCTCCCCCAACATCCTTACTTCTCTGACTCTGCTGCAGATGGCATTTAAAACTGAACTTGAAGCCATCTCTTTGAGAATTATGCATTTATCATCTGTATCTCCCATACATTCATAAGAACTTCAATTTGTGTTTTTCCTCACAATCCATGCTTTTTTATACAATCCATCTCAAGTAAATATGCAGGACGGTAGAGTTCCTTCAAGCAAAGGAACATTCATGTGCTGATGCATGTTTAGAACTGAAAACAGGATCTACCCTGGTTCTCAAAGGATATGTAGAATCAAATCCAAGAAAAGAAAGGACTAATGGGAGTGGAGAAGGGCAGAAATAAAAGCAAGTTTGTGAATATAGTTGGGTCAAGGGCTAAAGCTATGATAAAAAGAACTTTATGAAATAAGATTCCTGTTGTTATTTGAGTATGATTGTTAAGTAGAAAGTCATGGTTGAGTCTGAAAGCTAATTAGGAAGTTGCAAACTTGAAGAAGGAAAACCAGATCAGTGGTACCAAGTATATAGGAAACAAAAATGTTAAAAAAAAGGCAGTTATCAACATAAAGAATGACCTGGCGAGAACATGACAGTCTTTCTGAATACTACCAAATGGCTCTTATAATCTATCTGAACACTGGTAGATCAGAATCCTAATGGCATAGGATCCCTGAGAATAAGCAAGGGAATGAGAATCCAGAAATGTGGATCATTATGTAAATCTGCATTCCAATGGTAGATTTATGGTGACAGTGTCTTTTCAGTATCCTTGATCCCCTCTAGTCCATCAGCCTTCATAGTCTTCTCATAGCCTTCTGGATTGATGGCCTGGGGTCTAAACAAAGACTACAACACAGAGAAGAGAAGGGTGAACCTGTTTTGAGTGGTATGCTGCTCCTGGTTACCTGCAGCTTTCTGGGGGAGTTTATTTTTTCTTCCTTAATGTTCTTTATAATGAATGCATTTAAAATTTCCATATAGAATGTTTTGACAGCTTTTTGAAAAATTAGTAGTCTAACTTCCAAGGATTATACTGGCCTTAGAGACAACTAAAGGCTCAGAAGGGATTGTGTCTTTAATATCCAAAGTAACCCATTTACCAGAACTGTATTTCCTGCCCTGCCTGTCCATCTGAGGGAAGCAAATATCCATCCACTTGATGATCCAGAGCCAGGTACCAGGCAATCAAGGGCTGTCTATAGCTTTGAAATTATCAAAGCTCAACCTACTCATTCTATTCTAAGCTGATGGTGAATCCTGGTTGTCCAGTTGACTAGATCAAGAATCAACTAAAAGGCAATCCATCTGACACCTCTGTGAGAGATTTTCTTGATCTGATTATTTGAAATGGGAAAAGCCCCCCTCAGTGTGGGGAGCACTTTCCAATGTCAAAACATAAGAAAATAAAATAAAAATATAAGGGAAGTGAAAGAAATCTTACTTTGGGCCAACTTCCTTTCACTCTTGCATACACGCTCATCAATCCTGATGCTGCCAGTTTTGCCTCTTTTGCTGATCTTACAGTCAACTTCTTTGGACCTCCAATACAGACGGAAGACCAGTTTCTCTCCAGAAATCCTCTATGCCTTACGTACTATATGGAAACTTCCAAGATACCCAGCCTTATGAACTGAACAATTACCATATTCTGGGCCTGTCTAGTGGGAAATGGCCATTGTGGGACTGCCAGTTACAAAAATCAGATGATTTGGGGGGGGGGTGAGAGGCAAAAAGTTCATTATATTTACGATTCAATAGACATGTTATGTGGCCCATGTGAGATAGACAAAGTGTCACAAAAGAATACATAATAACATGTCAGCACAATGTATGCGTGGACCTACCATCTCCTAGAATCTTACTTACTCTTTTCTATTATCAAGAGGTCACAGTCGTACAATCCCTTTGGACAATAACTTGAATGATACTTTTGAGGAATCTAAAGCAAAAGTTTGAATTTAATATGGAGATAAAGAGAAGATGGAGACGGCTTCTTGATAGGTAAGTTGAGACTAGACTTGGTTACACCTTAGTTAATATTACTAAGCCTCAAGAGCTCCACATAAACTCCAGGAGGCCCTGTGACTTTGGGAAATATTGGACTTGTCAGTAGAAATCCAATTGAAAATTTCCTACAAAACCCTTCTTGGGTGCTTGCTTCGGCAGCACATATACTAAAATTGGAATAATACAGAAAAGATTATCATGGCCCCTGTGCAAGGATAACAGCAAATTTGTAAAGCATTCCATATTTTTTTCTGAGACAGGCATTGACAGTACAGAACTGACCAAGGAAAACACCCAAACACTCAGAAAGCCACTGCAAGGATTAGCCTGAGATACAAAGACACTGCTGGCCTCATTTGAAGGAAGAGATGGGTAGGCACCAAAGCAAGAATTTCTTCAATGACCTAAAAAGCAACATGGTAACACCAGAACCCAATGGTCACACAACAGGAAGACTTGATCATCCTTACCTAGAAGAAGTAGAAGAAAACAACCTTCAATGTAACTTTATTAAAATGATGGAGACCTTTAAAGAGGAAATAAAAAACTCCCTTAAAGAAATGGAGACGACAGACAAAAAAAATGGAAGAAATTAATAAATCCCTCAAAAAAAAAACAAAAACAAACAATCAAAGAGGGGAGAAAACACTTCAAGACATGAAGACTGAAATAGAGGTAATAAAGAAAACACAAACAGAGGGAATTCTGGATATGGAAAATCTGGGTAAATGAATGGGAACTACAGAGACAAGCATAATCAACAGAATACAAGAGATAAAGGAAAGACTCTCAGGCACTGAAGATTCTATGGAGGAAATAGACTCAATAGTCAAAAAAAAAACATGAAATCCAACAAATTCTTAACAAAATATCCAGGAAATCTGGGACAGCATGAGAAGAGGGAGAACTCCAGCTCAAAGGCATAGAAAATATATTTGGCAAAATCATAGAAGAAAACTTCCCCAACCTAAAGAAGGATATCCCTATAAAGGTACAAGAAGTTTACACAATAACAAATAGACTGGATTAAAAAATAACATCCCCTCACTGTATAACAATTAAAACACAAAATATACAGAATAAAAAATATTAAGAGCTGCAAAGGAAAATGGTCAAGTAACATATAAAAGTAAATCTATCAGAATTACACCTGACTTCTCAGTGGAAACCATGAAAGTCAAAAGGTCTTGGATAGATGTGCTGCATACACTAAGAGACCATGGATGCAAGCCCAGATTACGATACCCAGCAAAGCTTTCATTCACCATAGATGGAGAAAACAAGATATTCCAAGACAAAAACAGATTTAAACAATATGTATCCACAAACAAAGCCCTACAGAAAGTACTAGAAGGAAAACTCCAATGCAAGGAAGCTAACTGCACCCACATAAACACAGGCATTTGATAACCCCCCTACCTGCATAACCCAAAGAAGGAAAACATACAAACACTACCACTGAAAATAACTGGAATTAACAATCATTAGTTATTAATATCGCTTGATATCAATAGACTCAATTCACCTATAAAAAGACACAGGCTAAGAGAATGGATATGAAAACAGGATCCAGTCTTATGCTGTATACAAGAAACACACTTCAACCTCAAAGGCAGACACTACCTCAGAGTAAAAGGTTGGGGAAAGGTTTTCCAATAAAACTGACCTAAGAAACTAAAGTCAGTCAGAAGAGATGGAAAAGGACACTCTATACTCACAATAGGAACAATTCATCAAGATGAAGTCTCAATCCTGAAAATCTATGCCCCTAATACAAGAGTACCACCCACATATGTAAAAGAAACATTACTAAAACGTAAATCACATATCAAACCCCACACACTAACAGTAGAAGACTTCAGTACTCCACTCTTGCCAATGGACAGGTCAACCAGAGACTTAACAGAGAAATAAGAGAACTAACAGATGTCATGAAACAAATGGACTTAACAGACATCTATAGAACATTCTACCCAAACACAAAATAATGTATCTTCTTCTCAGTACCTCATGGAACACTCTCTAAAATTGATCACATACTCGGTAACAAAGCAAATCTCCACAAATACAAAAAAATTGGAGTAACCACCTGTGTCTTATCGGATCACCATGGAGTAAAGTTAGAATTTAACAACATTATTACTCTCAGAAAGCCTGCAAACTCATGGAAATTGAACAGTGAACTACTGAAACAACATTGAGTCAAGAAAGAAATAAAGAAAGAAATTAAAGGCTTCCTTGAATTCAGTGAAAATGAATGCACAACATATCCAAACATCTGAGACACTATGAAAGCAGTAAGTGCCCACATTGCATATCACCATAGAACCTTCATCTGGCGATGGATGGAGATAGAGACAGAGACCCACACTGGAGCACTGGACTGAGCTCCCAAGGTCCAAATGAGGAGCAGAAGGAGGGAGAACATGAGCAAGGAAGTCAGGATCACAAGGGGTGCGTCCACCCACTGAGACGGTGGGACTGATCTAATGGGAGCTAACCAAGGCCAGTTGGACTGGAAGTGATGGAGCATGTGATCAAAATGGACACTCTGAACGTGGCTGGCAATGAAGGCTGACTGAGAAGCCAAGGACAATGGCATTGGGTTTTTATTCTACTGCATGGACTGACTTTGTGGGAGCCTGGTTTGTTTGGATGCTCACCTTTATAGACCTGTATGGAGGGGGGACGACCTTGGACTTCCCACGGGGCAGGGAACCCTGACTGCTCTTAGGACTAGAAAGGGAGGGGGAGGTGGTGAGGGAAACGGAAAAGGGAGACGGGGAGGAGGTGGAAATTTTAATAAATAAATAAATAATAAAATAAAAGATAATAATAATAAAAAGAAAATGACGAAAGCTCACCTTAGTGACTTGACAGCACACCTGAAAGCTCTAGAACAAAAAGAAGCAGGAGGACTAGAAGACTGGATATAATCAAACTAATGGCTAAAATCAACAAAATAGAAACGAAGAAAGCAATATAAAGAATCAATGAAACAAAGAACTGATTCTTTGAGAAAAATCAACAACATAGACAAATCCTTATACAAACTAATCAAAAGGCAGAGAGAGAACATCCAAATTAGCAAAATCAGAAATGAAAAGAGGTATAACAACAGACATTGAGGAAATTCAGAGAATCATCGGGTCATACTACAAAAACACATGCTCCACAAAATTGAAAAAATGTAAAAGAAATGGACAATTTTTTAGATAGATAGCATATACCAAAATTAAATCAAGACCAGATGAGCAATTTAAATAGGCCTATAAACTGCAAGGGAATAGAAGCTGTCATCAAAAACCTCCCAACTAAAAAAATGCCCAGGGCTGGATGGTTCTAGTGCTGAATTCTACCTATACTCCACAAAATGTTCCACATAATAGAAACAGAAGGAACATTGCCAAACATTTTTTATAAGGCTATAGTTACCCTGATACCAAAACCACACAAAGATTCAACCAAGAAAGAGTCAATCTCACTTATGAACATGGTTGCAAAAATACTCAATAAAATTTGGCAAACCGAATCTAAGAACACATCAAAAAAATCATCCACCATGATCAAGTCGGCTTCATCCCAGAAATGCATGGCTGGTTCAGCATATGAAAATCTATCAATGTAATCTATTGTATAAATAAAGTGAAAGAAAAAACACATGATCATTTCATTAGATGCTGAAAGGGCATTTGACAAACTCCTTCAGGATAAAGGTCTTGGAGAGATCAGGGATACAAGAAACATATCTAAATATAATAAAAGCAATATACAGCAAGCCGACAGCCAACATCAAATTAAATGGAGAGAAACTCAAAGTGATTCCACTAAAATCAGGAACAAGATGAGGCTGTCCATTCTCTCCATATCTCTTCAACATAGTTCTTGAAGTTTTAGCAATAGCAATAATACAACAAAAGGAGATCAAGGGGATTCAAATTGGAAAGGAAGAAGTCAAACTTTTGCTATTTGCAGATAATATGATAGTGTATATAAATGATCCTAAAAACTCTACCAGAGAACTCCTACAGCTGATAAATACCTTCAGTGATGTGGCAGGATACAAGAGCAACTAAAAAAAATGCAATAGCCTTCCTATACACAAAAGATAAAGGAGATGAGAGGGAAATCAGAGAAACATCACCTTTCACAGTAACCACAAATAACATAAAATATTTTGGGGTAATACTAACTAAAGAAGTGAAAGATCTATTTGACAGGAACTTTAAGTCTTTGAAGAAAAAAACTGAAGATAACAGAAAATGAAAAGATCTCACATGCTCTTGGATAGGTAGGATCAATATAGTAAAAATGGCAATTCTACCAAAAGCAGTCTATAGACTCAATGCAATCCCCATCAAAAACCCAACACAATTCTTCAAAGACCTTAAAAGAACAATTGTCAACTTCATATGGAAAAACAAAAAACCTAGGATAACCCAAACAACCCAGCACAATAAACTTCCAGAGGCATCACAATCCCTGACATCAAGCTCTATTACAGAGCTACTGTAATGAAAACAGCTTGGTATTGGCATAAAAACAGAGAGGTTGACCAATGGAATCAAATCAAAGACCCGGATATTAATCCACACACCTATGAACACCTGATTTTTGACAAAGAAACTAAAATTATACAATGGAAAAAAGAAAGCATCTCCAAAAAAATGGTGCTGGCATAACTGGATGTCAACATGTAGAAGAATGAAAATAGATCCATATCTATCGCCATGCACAAAACTCAAATCCAGATGTATTAAAAACTTCAATATAAATTTAACCACACTGAACCTGATAGAAGAGAAAATGGGAAGTAGTCTTCAATGCTTGGGTACAGGAGACCACTTCTTAAATATAACCCCAGTAGCACAGACACTAAGAGCAACAATAAATAAATAGGAACTCCTGAAACTGAGAGGCTTCTGTAAAGCAAAGGACACAATCAAAAAGACAAAAAGGCAGACTAGTGAATTGGAAAAGATCTTTTCCCACACTGGACAATGAACTGATCTCCAAAATATATAAAAAACAAAAACCAGCTTACAAACCACAATCCCAGAGAACTTAGATAACAATGAGGACACTAAGAGAGACTTACATAAAATCTAATCTACATGGGAAATAGAAAAATATTAAGATCTCCTGAGTAAATTGGAAGCATGGGGACCTTGGGGAAGGGTTGAAAGGGAGAGAATAAGGCAGGGGAGCAGAGAAAATGTATAACTCAATAAAAATCAATAAAAGTTAAT